CACAGTTCAATTTGTTCCATGCATTGCAAATATTTTACCCAAGACAGAAAAAAAATACCTGCAGTACCATATTCAAAGGCCCTGTACCCCACCCACTTCAAAACATTTTAGTCAGACTATGTTTAGGAGTTTGGGGAAGTTAGGTGGATATAGATTAAGTTGCTTGCTCTATTACTGATTAAATGATTGCACAGAGACAAACTTTAAATCATGGACTTTCATGCAAAGGTTTTTGCGACAGTCTCTAGCATGTTGGGAATGCAGGAGGGGCTGTGGGGATCTTCAGGGGGCAGTCCAGAGGCACACTGCCTCTCCCTGTCTTGTCCCCACTTCCATATCCTACCAGTGTTCCAGTGATGACTGAAGTTCAGAAAAAAGCTGGGTTTGGTGTTCATAGAACAGAGTCAGCTTTAATGCCTGGAGGATTCCAATAGTTATGAAGAGAACCCCCAGGCATCACCAGTCCAACAGGCTAAATCTGAGGAAACTCTAAAGTGAGAGGTTAAGATAGCAATAGGCATCAGGAAGACATATAAGAAATACAGCTGGCCGAACATGGGGGGTCACGCCTGTAATCCCAGCACTTTGGGAGGCCAAGGCGGGTGGATCACCTGAGATTGGTAGTTTGAGGCCAGCCTGACCAATATGGAGAAATCCTATCTCTACTAAAAATACAAAATTAGCCTGCCACAGTGGCACATGCCTATAGTCCCAGCTACTAGGGAGTCTGAGGCAGGAGAATCGCTTGAACCCAGGAGGCGGAGGTTACAGTGAGCTGAGATTGCACTCCAGCCTGGGCAACAAGAGTGAAACTCCATCGAAAAAAAAAAAAAGAAAGAAAGAAAGAAAAAGAGAAAAGAAAAGAAAAGAAAAGAAATACAGCCAGCACTGGCACAACATAAATGGGAATAATCACTATCGTTATTTTCCAGGCACTTACTGTGTGCTAGGTACGGTTCCAAGTAACTTAATGTTTAATCTCACAAGTATGGAAGAGACCAAATTCATTTCTTTTTCCTCCTAGACACAGAGACTTCATTTCTCAGCCTGCCTTGCTGTGAGTGCATCCTGGGTATTGTGGAAAGCCATTAGGACTGATCCATAACCCCTCCCCTCATCCACCCAGCTCTTCTCCAGATGATCTTCCTCTATCTGGCAGTTAGCAGAAGCACAAAATGGAATAAACATGAACTAAATTTCCATACAGAAGGTTGCCATTTAACACACATTTGAACTATTCTACATGTATAGTAAATCTTTATTATCTTAAGCCAATAAGATTTTTTTTTTATTCACTAAGCATTACGTATTTATTTATTTATTTTTAATTTAAGTTTTATTTTAGATTCAGGGAGTACGTGTCCAGGTTTGTTACATGGGTATATTGCTTGATGATAAGGTTTGGGGTACAAATGATCCTGTATTCAGGTAGTGATCATAGTACCCAACAGTTAGTTTTTCAACCCTTTCCCTGCTCCCTCATGCTGTAGAAATCCCCAATGTCTATTGTTGCCATGGACTTAATGTCCATGAGTTCCCAATGTTAAGCTCCCAATTCTAAGTGAGAATATGCAACATTTGGTTTTCTGTTCCTGCTTTAGTTTTCTTAGGATAATGGCCTCCAGCTGCATCCATGTTGAAGCAAAGGACATGATTTTGTTCTTTTTTCTGGCCATGTAATATTCCATGGTGTATATGTGCCACATTTTCTTTTTTTTTTTTTTAATTTTTATTGCATTTTAGGTTTTGGGGTACATGTGCAGAACATGCAAGACAGTTGCATAGGTACACACATGGCAGTGTGTTTTGCTTCCTTTCTCCCCTTCACCCACATTTGGCATTTCTCCCCAGGCTATCCCTCCCCAGCTCCCCCCCCGCTGGCCCTCCCCTTTTCCCCCCAATAGACCCCAGTGTTTAGTACTACCCTCCCTAAGCCAATAAGATTTAAGGGCTCATCTGTTAAAGCAGCTAGAGTCCCTACCTATTTGCACAAGCCCACAGGTAGTGCTATTATTATTGTCATTTTCAAATGAGGCTCTTCAAACAGAGAGTAGTTTTCCCAAGGCCTCAACAAGTAAGTACCAGAGTCAAGATTCAAATCCAAGCCATTTTGCTCCAAAGACTATGCTGGTAGCCACGAATTGTCTCCTATAAGGAGTTACTGGGATTATTGAGATCATGCATACACAGTGCTAGCATAGCGAAGGAAGCATGGCCACTGTTAAATAGTCAACGTCATTGTTCATGATTATTATGAATGCCCTGAGGTCCTTTGCAGAGTCTTCTTCCAGTCCCATCCTGCTCCCCCTACCCTCAATGTGAACCCTAACTCTCACCTACTGTCTGTCTCTGACCAACTATAGGGAATAATATATTTGCTACCTTTCTGCTCACTTTCTCTGTGTGATTATAGCTATCTAGTGAGGTTTTATGTGCAAGTTGGGACAATGTATGTATGTGTTCCTTGTAGAACAGGTCTACTTACCCTGTGGTAAAGTTATGGATCTGTCCTGTTCTGGGTTTTTTATAACCAGCTTGAAAGAACCTCTTCATAAGTATGTATATCCGACTGGAAGTTGGGGGAATAGCTAATATGACAGAAGACAAAACCAAGACTTCAGCTGTTCTCAGCAGGCTGGAATGATGAGCAAGAGCCAGAAAGAGATTTAATAGAGAAAAACAAATGGCAGAATTGTAGAAGAAAAGGACCTTATAGGTCATTGACTGGAGCCTCTGATGAAATCCTTGAACTAGATTTCCTCTCTCCTGACTTTTACTATTCTAATCACACCTGTTTCTGACGATCTCTGAGTATGTGAAGAATTACCTTATCTGTTTAAAAATCTTGTTAAATTCCAATTAAATGAACTGGGATAGCTTAGATTTTTAAACCCCAAGCTTTTAAAGCACGTACATCAGAGGCAGACTTGTATTTAATCCCAAGCGTGTGATCTGTACTTCGAAAAGTGTTTAGTGAATACACTTCAGTTTTGTTTGTCATTGATTGGTACAGTAGTTCTGGTAGGGAAACCGCTGTGAAGCTACAATGTAACTGGTCATTTTATTTATTTCTGTCACCTGAAGAAAAGGAGCCACACCAAAAAAATGGGCAAATATGTATTCTAATAAACTCGAAGTCAGGTAAATAGAACAAATGTATTAGTTTCCTATCTGAGAGAAGTGTTAGTAGGTTTGATGTCTGATAAAGTTGCTAATGCTGAGTGCCCCTCAAAATGTTCTAATGTTAACTAAAAAGCTCAAGGTCAACTAGTCTCACTCAAGTACAGGGAAAAAGCAAATGGTTAGACTGAACAAAGAGTGGTAATATGATCACTCATAATTACAACAGTCTTTGTTTTATTTCAATAGCGTTTGGGTGCAAGTGGTTTTGTTTATGTGGACGAATTGTTTAGTGGTGAAATCTGACACTTTAATGCAACCATCACCTGAGTAGTGTACATTGTACCCAATAAAACTATCTTTCTCAAATTACAAGAGAAGTCAGAGTCACTTTGAGTGCTTATCAAAACACAGATTCCTGGGTCCTCCCCCAAGACTATTAACCCAGAATCGCTGTGGACAGGGCCTAGGAGCCTGTATTTTAACAAGATCCTAACAATTTTTTAATGCATATATGAATCTCTGGACTAGAAAGAAAATATCTAGATATTCCTATTTCCTTACAGAAATAGAGAATTCATGATTTAAAACAATAGTTTATGTTCTGCTAGTACTAGTTGAGGCTGATGTGGTTTTATTAAAGATTTGTATTTTTATGCAAATATACAACTGAGCAGAAAAGCATGCTATTCAACACTCTCTAGAAGGCCTAGTTTTGGAATATACATCCATAACCAAGTCACCTCCCATTTCATCAGTGGCAGGCAGGGTACCTAATGGCAATCAAGAACCTGGAAGCTAAAGAGCATCCATCACTGCCAGGTTGTAAGCCCAACCTCCAGTCATAGGAAAGACTGCAGTGAGAATGACCAAGTCAAAATAGAAAGTCCACAGCCTTCCCAGTTATTTTAATTGCAGGTCAATGAATGTTTTTGTCTGTTCTTATCTGCTCCCCTGCTCATTATTGTCTGTGTGCCACTGAGTCCTCGCTAATCTGAACTCAACTCCCCTTGTGTCCCTTTCAACCTGCTCTGAAGGCTAGTTTTTGCCCTGGGCCTGGCGGTCCTGGGCAGGTCTTAAAATGTGTCTCATCCTGTTCATCATGAGAGTAGGTTTCTTCTCATAGTTAATATGCCCAGTCCCAAATAGTACTTGATCCCATCTGGAGCTTTGCGGCTCCCTCAGCTCTGCACTGCCTGCTGAACAGGACCGGGGGCAGATGGCTGCTTTTCTTTCTCCACTGGCATCTTAGCTGCTTACTGGCTGCTATTTCTGGCCCTGATGAGGGTGGAGAAAGGGATTCAGGAAAGGGTACAGTTTCTGGCTGCTGTGCAGTTGGTGGCCTCTGGCCTGGCAAAATTTCCAAGTGCACTCTTCACTCAAGCTTTATCTCTGTGGTTTCTCTAAGATGCCCCTCCAGAGCCTCCCAATGCTGTTGTAGCAGACCAGGCACTGACTCCCCCCATGGCTGTGTCAGCTTCCAACACTCAGGCTCTCCACTGCAAGGGCCTACCCCTCTCCAGTTCAGTCCATCCCAGCAGCAGATTTGGGCCCCTTTGCAAATGACTCTGGGTCATCTCCACCCATGTCACACACATGGTCCACCAGGAAGCATCATTGCTCTGCAGATACACGTCCAAGTGCACATCACTCCGAGGGCAGTTCTCTGTGTCTCTGTCTCTGCCTCTCTCTCTCCTCTGCCACTTCAAGCCTTTTCCTTTATATTTTCAAGTAAGTATTAGATACTCATTCCTAATACTCCCTAAGAGACATGTTAGGCTCTCTGAGTGATCCCAGCAATGCCAGCCGACTTGAGAGAAGAGCAAAGCATTTGTATTAGTTTGTTTTCATGCTGCTGATAAAGACATACCCAAAACTGGTAACAAAAATAAAGGTTTAATTGGACTTATAGTTCCACGTGGCTGAGGAGGCCTCAGAATCATGGCAGGAAGTAAAAGGCACTTTTTACATGGTGGTGGCAAGAGAAAATGAGGAAGAAGCAAAAGCAGAGACCCCCCCCAATAAGCCCCTCAGATCTCATGAGACTTGTTTACTATCATGAGAATAGCAGAGGAAAAACCAGGCCCCATTATTTAATTACCTCCTCCTGGGTCCCTCCCACAACATGTGGGAATTCTGGGAGACACAATTCAGGTTGAGATTTGGTGAGGACACAGCCAAGCCATATCAGCATCAACACTCTGTAAAGGTGTGGTCAACTCCTTCCAGGGGACAATGGTGAGTGATGTACTAATTGCAGCAACACTGGTTTCTGAAGCTCCTGAGGTGTTTTGCATGTGGTTCAACACCTTCTAGTATATGGGGGATGTGACATCTATTACACTGTTCTCTATCTTTAGGGATTTGGTGGAAACGGTAGACCTCGAAAGACTAGTATTAAACATCCTATTACATGTGTACATTCCTACACGTGCCATTGTGTACCAATTGAGCATGGGAGAGAGGGAGAACTTATCTGGGTGGTATCTTCTTTAGGAGATAGCAGGAATGAGAATAAATATGAAAACACATGGTAAATATAAAGTGATGATGATTTCTATGCTATCCTATGCTATTTGTGTGGGACTCAAGTTGGTGGGTGGAAAAGCAGAGCATTTCAGGAAACAGAGTAAGTGAAGAGGAAGGAGAAAACCACCAAGAAAGTCGTAGGGAGGATAGAACATTTCAGAAGAACAAGTGGACAAAGAATTCAAAGAAATAATTAACATTTCAGAGAACCTCAGCAGAGAAGGGAAGCAGACATGAGCAGAAACTTGGCAACCCAGCTCCCCTGTGACCCTGATGATCAGCTGGGCATGGAACCATTTTCCTAGTCTACCTGCCCTGGATGTTACAGATGCTCGGAAACACTGTTGGTTTCCCCTCGCTGTCATGTTTCAGCTCTATTAATCCTCCACATCTCCTTTGGGAGCCACTGGACTAGAGGATGTCTAAGGTCGAGACGAGCTCTGGGAATCTACAAGGCACTCTATCATCTAAAGACAACCATTTTGTCTTATTCAAATTTCCAGCTCCACAGCCTTCCTTCAGAGTGGCAGTATCCTGAGTAGAAACTGAGACTAACGTGGAAATTAGGCTGTGTCTCTGGAAGAGTAAATAGACTCAACTTCTTAAGAATCTTAATTTGTAAGCAGAACCCAGCTGGGACTTGCCAACAGAGGATGCCAGCTTCCTGGAACCTGCTAGACACTGTGGGTCAAGGTAATGTGGTGACAGGGTTGGACCCTGGAGCATCCAGGTAAGCCCAGTGTTGCCAAGGCCAGGGGTTGAAGCTGTAAGAAGATAAAGGAACTCCCTCATGTAGTCATTCTAGAAAGCAGACTACAGAGTTGCTAAAATAAACAGAAGAGTAAAGGAAGGGCCAGGAGACCCTATGAGCAAGGAGGAAACAGAAAGAACTACAAGGAAGAAGAGGTCTATAGGAATGGAGCTCAGCATGATGGCAGGAATGTCATCCTCAACTGTCCCAACACCGAGCAGGCCCTCGATAAACACGAATGAATGGGTGAGTGCCCCGATGAATAGAACTTACAAGATCTGTGTTTCCAATGGCTGGGGGGCATTTGGTCCCCACACCGAGGTTATTGGACATCTGCACAGGAAAGGCCTATTTTTGGTGTCCTTTCCTTTCTGAAACTAAAGTGCTTTGGAGGGGAAAAAAAAAAAAAAGAATGGAGCTCAGAAAGTGCTTGGTGGACCCAGCAACCCAGCCAACCCAAGAGCCTTGGCTTCCAAAGCTTCCAAGAGGCAGACAGAAGCAGAAGCAGGGAAGACACCAACTGCCCATGCCTTCCCCCAGCTCCAGGGAACCTGGCCCAAAGAGCTGCAAAGAAGGCTGACAACTGCGGGTACATGGAAAGAATACTCAATCCATGCTTAGATATTGGAATGAAACAAGACTGCACCATTATTGTCACTGTTGACATGTAACTGAGGCGATGAAGCGGTTTTTCTGGGAAGCTTGGAATGTCAGCTCCATCACTTTAGAACTGTGCAATGTATTTTCAGCTGTTCCAACTAAAAAGTTGCTTTAAGCAGCTGTAAATTGTGTATTTTTAATCAACAGGGTTGGGGTGGAGTTTGGCAGTGAGGAGACGTGGTGTAACAGAAGAAAGTCACCCAAGGTGCCTGAGGAAAGAAACCTTCATTTGAGGTGGCCTTAGTGATGCTCTTTATATTAAGTGCTGTGTACACTGGGTAACATCCATGGGCCGGAAGAAGTCTCAGATGTGGCCTAGGAAGAACAACGAGAGAAAAAGAGAGAAGAGAGAAGCAGTCAGAGAGAAGGGAGAGGATGGGAAGGGGGAAGGGAGGGGGAGGAGGAGGCCAGAGGAGGGGAGGGGGAAGGAAAGGGAGGGGAGGGGGGAGAGGAGGAAGGCAAGGGAGGGGGGGGGGAGGAGGGAAAAGGGAAGGGGAGGGGGAAGGGGTAGAGGAAGGGAGGGGGGGAGAATCGAGGCCATAGTGATGGAGTGCAATATGACACCATTCGGTGAGGTACAAGGTCACAGCTTTTCCAGCTTTGGGAAGCTTCCCTAAAGAGAGAATGACCTCCAGGAACCCACCCTATCACCACAGGGCCCAGGTGCCCTCTCCAGCCAGCACAGGAGCCCTCCCCAGTGGTGCGACCTCTTCTGCGCATGATCTGCCTGCTATTAGCCAGCCAGCTAGAACATGTTGCCCAAAAAACCGCAGAGACCAATATTTGGAGGAGAATACCAGAAATAGGGGCCTATCTGGCCCCTTTGATCCTTTATGGCCGATTCCGTGGACATTGCTGCTCCTCGGGCCGGAACTTCTCTCTTGAGTCCCCCAATTACAGTCTCCAGACCCTCCACCCCGCCGGGCACTCCTGGGTCGGCCTCCCAGTCGGTCACAGTGATCGGATCCTCCTGCAGAGCAGTAGAAAGTCCAGGAGGCGGTCCTCGCTCGTGACTCCCGGAGACGAGCGGCCAGGTGTGACCAGATACCTACCAGGTGCGGCCAGGTGCCTCCAGGTGCGGCTAGGTATCTCCCAGGTGCGACCAGGTACCTCCCAGGTGTGTCCAGGCACGGCGCCGCCTCCCCTCGGGTGGGCCAGTGTATTTATTCCAAACCGAGACTGAGAGGTGACAGCTTCAAGTCTCATCGGGAAGGAAACGCCTCGCAAGCCAAGCACAAAGGGGGTTAGTTACTCATTTTTTTTCTGCAGCGGCCGCCTTTCCCCCTCCCTCCTGTTTCTCCGCTTTCGCTCCTTTCCCTCCACCATTCCTCACCCACCCCTGCCCTTCCCAGGTGGGACACGTGAGCTGGTTTGCGGGCGCGGCGGGGAGGAGGAGGGCTCCGCAGCTCCCCAGACGCTCCCCAAGGAGCACGGGTCACGTGCAGCGACAGCCCTCCGGACAACACCTGAGGCTTGATGTGTCTCTTAAAGGGCCCTTTCCTCTTTCCCGCTGCAGCTGACCTGTCTTCAGCCTCCTTGCTCACCTTTGTTTCACCTTTTCCGAGTTCTTGCCCTTGCCTTTGTCTCCCACAACCCCTTTCCTTACTGTATTGACTTTCACCATTATTTTCTCTTCCTTTTGCTCGTTTTCATGTCTTTTTATCTTCACTGTTTAGCCCAGGTCTCACCCCTGACCCCTGTTCCCATTAATCCAGCCTTTTCCCTCCTTTTCTTCTCTATTTTTTTTGAACCCCTATTCTTCAGAACCTGGCTTACTGGGGAACTAGAAAGAGATCCTAGAAATAACTCAATTTAGGACACACTTCACTGACATTAAACAGAGCACAGGTAATGTACTTAAACCTTTCTTGATGACTCAGGTGGGCAGCGTTCAGGATGAGCTGCGGTGGGAGGAACTTCATGGATTGACTACACTTTGAGGTCAGCATGGTTGGGCTCTCAAATTGCAGAATCAGCAGCTTTATCATTTTGATTCACCAGCAGCAATCACACATTGCAGAGTCACACTATACATTCCTTTTTTTTTTTTTTTTTTTTAGACGGAGTTTCGCTCTTGTTACCCAGGCTGCAGTGCAATGGCGCGATCTCAGCTCACTGCAACTTCCGCCTCCTGGGTTCAGGCAATTCTCCTGCCTCAGCCTCCTGAGTAGCTAGGATTACAGGCACATGCCACCATGCCCAGCTAATTTTTTGTATTTTTAGTAGAGATGGGGTTTCACCATGTTGACCAGGATGGTCTCAATCTCTTGACGTCGTGATCCACCCGCCTCGGCCTCCCAAAGTGCTGGGATTACAGGCTTGAGCCACCACACCCGGCCTCACACTATAACATTCTTAAGAGAACAAAGACAAAACTAGAGTGCCAGTGTAGTGATTTATTAGGGGGATAAACTGTTAGTGGTAGAGACGGGCTAGACGCTCACCAATCTTGTTTCTACTGCCTCGGCACAAAGGGAGACTATATCCTCCAGCCTTACTTGCAGTTAAGTGAAACAATGTGAGTGAGTTCTACCTAAGGGAATGCGGACAGAAGTGATATATGCCACTTGCAGATATAGCCAAAAAGTGTTCCAAGTGCTGGAAGTGAAGGACTTCCAGAACAGAAGGATCCTGGATCCAGGAGTCACCACATGGAAGAGAGCCACCAGGCGAGATTGACTCACATTGGACTATCATGTGGACAAGAAATAAAATTGTATTGTGTTAAGACACTGAGCTTTAGAGATTGTTTATAAGTTAGCATTAGTATATCTTTACAGGGGAAAAAATAACTTGTTTCCACTGTTCCAAATACCCATTTTCCATATCAAGATACATAAGAAACCTTGCTGTCAGAGGCTTGCTTGGTGAGCATGAACTAGAGCAAAGCCCTGAGAGTTAGTTTATTTAACTGCAATACAACTTACGCAAGAGTTTTTGCTTTAGCTTAGGATACTGGAAGTAGGTTGATGATGCAAGTTAGGTGCGAGGGGCATTAAAATGCTCATTTTTGAAACATAGGGTATCATCTCCCTGTTCATCTTTCAATTTAGGAGGAAAGACGAGCATGAGAACCCAGAAGAAATTGTACCTACTCAGAAGTGGGGAGTGAGGATGGAAGTGCCCAGATTCAAAGGCACCATGAAGTGTCATGCCAAGATAGAAAAGACTTTGGGCTGGCCAAAAGAAAATTGGCCAAATTTACGGATGAGGTAGGTGTTAGTTAAGTTCCAGGCACACATATGGTTTACCATCTAGTCAACATCTCCATGTGGATGCCTAATCAGTGTTAACAGAAAAACTTTTGACAAATTAAATTGAACAGAGTTTATTTGAGCAAAGAATGATTCATGACTTGGGCAGCACTCAGAACCAGAAGAGGTGCCCTGCAAAGTGGGCAGTGAGTACTTACAGACAGAAAATGGAAGTGGAGTACAGAAATAGCTCGATTGGTTACAGCTAGGTGTTTGCCTTATTTGGACATGATCTGATCAGTTGGCTGCCTGTAATTAACCAAAGTTCAGCTGGTGAGATCCGGGCTACCTATTACAAAATATATACTTCTAAATTAGGTCTTCAGTTTGTTTACTTACTGAGTTGCTTGCAATTTGCTACATAGTGAGTCAAAGTAGAGAAACAGCCTCAGGCAAATGGCCTCCTGCTTATTTAATTTAACACAGGCTTTCCGAATCTAGCAAGCCCAAAACTTCCTCCTGATGCCCCGCCCATCTCAATAAACATTTATTCTATTTTTCCACTTTCTTAGGTTAGAAACCATAAAGCTTGTCTTAACTCATCTTGGTTTCTCATGCTGCACATTCAGTCCATTAGCAAGTTCTGTGTGCCCTACCTGCAAAATATGTCCAGATATCAGCTACCTCTTTCCATCAGGCTGTGCCACCCTGTGCCACCTTGTTCCAAGCTAAAAACTTCTTTATGGTAGTGCAAAGGTTTCCGAATTGCCCTCCTGCTTCCAGCCTTGCTTCCCTACTTTCTATTTGCAGTCATAACATTTTTATTTTAAAATGGAAATCAGATTACATTAGTCAAACTCTCCAAATGATTGCAATCTTACCAAAAAATGAAATCCCAAGTTCTGATAGTAGTCTGCATGATCTGGGCCCCTGCTTCATGAGAAGAGGAACATAGTCTGTTTGTTCTGTTTTGTTTACTGCTGTTCCCAGCGAGAATGCTGCCTGACACACATTAGGTATATAGTAAATATTTCTTGGATGATGGACTTACAGGTAGAGACTAAGAAGAAAAGAAAAGGGAAAGAAAAATATTTGAGGCCATAGTTACAAACATACACAGCATGTATTTAATGACCTTTGAGGGTGATAGCTCAAATGCTACAAATGGGAATGTCACAACCGTATAAGGAAGAACTTGGAACACACTTAATTTCCTAATTTTTATGCAATACATGAAGCTTTCCCCATGAAAATGAGGAAGAGGGTTAATTCCACAAGCATCTTGGTTTCTTGACTTTTTCATAAAAAGTATTTTATTTTATGGAGACAAGAGTCTTTCTCTGTGGCCCAAGCTGGAGTGCAGTGGCATGATCTCCACTCACTGCAACCTCTGCCTCCTGGGTTCAAGCAATTCTTGTGTCTAAGCCTACTGAGTAGCTGGGACTATGGGCGCAAACCACCACGCCCAGCTAATTTTTTGTATTTTTAGTAGAGACAGCGTTTCACCATGTTGGCCAGGCTGATCTCAAATCCCTGACCTCTGGTGATCCACCAGCCTTGGCCTCCCAAAGTGCTGGGATTATAAGCATAAGCCTCCATGCCTGGCCTTATAAAAAGTATTTTAAATCCTCATTTATAAAATAATTCATAAATTATTTCAATTTAGAAAGTTCTATCTAAAAAGTAGGAGATCTACACCACTATGTAGCTTAATGTGCACATGTCAAGGACATTGTCTATTCAGATACTGTGTTTCTTTTGACAGATGCAACATTGCAGGTGGATGATAATGAATAAGCATAACCAAAAACATGGAAAGTCACTCTCAGTCCGTTCTATTGGATTTGAGAAGTCCCCCCGAGCTTATTTCCTCATTGTCTTTTGTTTTTCTTGTGGGTAGTGATCTGGGTCTCACCTCTGCTGTATGTCATCCTTCAGGTTCTAGCTTAAATGTCTCCTCTCAGAGAAACCATCCCTGACCACCATCTAAAGTAGGCAGCCTCTACCTGTTAATTCTCCTTCATAGAGCCCTCTCATTTTCCTTTGTGGCACTTATCAGTGATCTGTAATCACATATTGATTTCTTGCTGTTTATTCAATGTTACCTATCTTCCCAGAGTGTGAGCTCCTTGAGGTCAGGACCATGTCTGTTTTGTCACAATGGGATGGCTAGTGCTTGGCTTAAGTAGACACTCCATAGTAGACACTGCATGGGTATTCAATGTATACAAGAGTGAAAGAGTGAATGAAGGAAGGTGGGCCTGGGCTAGGGAGCTGGGCGACCAGTGTCAAGTTTAGGCCATCAGCCCTGCTCAGGACAAATGTCCGACTCCTGCTCCGAGCCCTCCTCCCAGTCTGGCTCTGTGCTTCCCATAGCTGTTGATCATCTCACTGACAGGCAGGCTCAGCCAAGAAAGTGGAAAGAGGAAAAGAAAAATGAGGCACAGGAGGGTAGAATGGAAAATCTAGGCTCTTTTAGCAGCCACTCTTCCTTATTTCTTGCTAGAGTATTGGCACCTTTAAAAGCCTTGGCTGTCCTCCCCAACCTCCCCACTCAATCACAAACCACAGCACCTAGAAAAAAAGTAAAGGCAAAAATCAATGTGCTAAATCTCAGTTGGGCCCAGTAGCAACTCCCTGCAGCTTCCCTCTGCAAGCTGTGGAACTGAGCCCTCCAGCTCTCTCTCTGAACTTGACTCCAGAGGTGTGGGACTTGCATGCTAAAAATATGCCCTTTCTCCTTCTGCAGCCCATCCCCAACCTACTGAAAACCAAGGAGAAAGCCTCTGAGACTCTCCCCCTTACCCTCCATTCATAGCTCAGATTGTCCACTGATTTCATCTGCCCTCTCCTGCTGTCCACTCTCTGCTCCTTTTCCTCTCAGCCCTCGTTCGGTCTCTGCCCCACTTACCCAGCTAATGGCCTATAAAGTTTTCCATTCAGAATTTCCCTCTTTACCCTCTCTTAGATGTGTAGAGAATGAAAGGGAAAGAGGGTTGTTATCTGGGTGCAGAGGGTTGAATTGGGAAGAGAATCATATTTTTATTATTAAAATATTAAAATGATACATTTTCATTTCTCCCACACCCACCTTTTTTTGAGCCAGAGTCTTGCTCTGTTGCCCAGGCTGGAGTGCAGTGGCATGATCTTGACTCACCACAACCTCTGCTTCCGGGGTTCAAACAATTCTCATGCCTCAGCCTCCTGAGTTGTTGGGATTACAGGTGTGCACTACCACTCCCAGCTAATTTTTTTGTATTTTTAGTAGACAGAGAGTTTTTCAATCTTGCCCAGGCTGGTCTTGAAATCCTGGCCTCAAGTGATCCACCTACCTTGACCTCCCAAAGTGCTGCAATTACAGGCTTGAGCCACCACACCTGGCCCATTTCTGCCTTAACCCATATTCTTTTCAGCTCTTTCCTCCAAGTTTGAGCCATGGAGACTAGTGTCCCAGGGAAGGAGAAGGCGAGAGCCATGGAGAACTAAGAGATGACCAAGCACCTTTTGGTGTTAAATCTCACTTACCTGACCACTTAATCAGGAGCTTTCTCTTGAGAGCTAGGCTTTGTGGATAGAGAACAGGGATTTCTAAATTCTAGATCTTCTCCTTTAACCCACTGAGAGCCCTGCC